CTTTTTCTGCCACTTGTGGCTTGAATTGAGTATTTTATATGATTCCTTTTTTTCTCCTTTCTTTTTTTTTCCTTTTTGTCTTTTTTCGTGTCCGGCAATGGATCGCAACCCTCAGTGTCGCGCCCGTACCGGACCGGGACCAGCAACAGGATCGCAACCCTTGGTGTTGCTCCCACACCTCGCTCAGCCAGTGAGCGGGAACCGGTCTGTATGTGGGATCCGAACCCTCGGTGGGAGCGCCACCGCGCTCCCAAGCGGCACACTGTAGCAGTGCGCCACCGGGCCGGCCCCCTTTTTTTCTCCTTTCCATGAACACTGTGAATTTAGTCTCAAATAGTTTTTAAGCACTCACATAAATGAATGTAACAGGAAATAAATAAATAAATTTGCTTGGAAAAAATGGACAAGTGTTGATGAATGAAGAGGAAACTTTAGATTTTAGGAACTATTAAACTCAGAGAATATAAATCTGTATACTTCAAAGCTAAAATATATAAAATCACAGCCATGAAAACCTTTGCTGTAAAAGAACCAAATTAAAGTTAGGAATAAAAATCATGCTGGTTTCAGGAGAAAATCTATGATTTGGTCTCTCTGAGTCTTCAGCTTAAAATTATTTAGAAAAATGCACTACAATAAGAGATTAAAAACCACAGAAGGGTCATCAAAAAAAAAGCAAAGAAAAGATGATATTTGACAGTCAAAGACACTGAAATAAATAAAAATTAAAAATTAGGTAAACCTCAGTTTTGGTGAGTATGATGGCAGATATGTCTTGCTATACCAGGCCAGCAGTACCATAGCTCCTAGCATGTAGGCTGAGCAGTTGACACAGTGGTCAGCGCTGAGCAGTTGACACAGTACAGAGCAGTTGACAGTGGTGTCTTAACTAAAGCAGAACTCCAGTGTGGTTGAGCATTGTTTTGGGCTGCAAAGCTTCTGACTATACCTCACAGGTTCTCCCTGAGATTTTGAGCTGCCTGATATCTTTTGATAAATTCTTTTCCTGCTTAAACAAATCAATCAGGCAAACAACCAACATTAAGCCAATTGAAAAACCAACTTGTTCCCAACCAGGGTTACATAAACAATGACAAAGGAGGAAAGGAAAGAGTTGACTATAAAATTAAGCAACAAAAAGGTAATGTAGGGCCGGCCCGGTGACGCACTGCTATAGTGCACTGCTTGGGAAGCACGGCGGCGCTCCCGCCGAGGGTTCGGATCCCACATACAGACCGGTTCCCGCTCACTGGCTGAGCGAGGCGCGGGAGCAACACCGAGGGCTGCGATCCCGTTGCCAGTCCCGGTCCGGGGGCGACACTGAGGGTTGCAATCCATTGCTGGACACGGAAAAAGACAAAAAAAAAAAAAAAAAGGTAATGTAGGTTTTTTAATATTTCAATCAATTATTTAATATTGGCTACATTCAGTATGGTTAAATGTAAAGTCTTTATATTTTACTTATATTCATAGTTTTTAAAATTCAATGCTTATTTTGACTTAGTATTATATTCAACATATATTTTACCATAGAATCACACTTGGTGTCATAGGCATAATAGTTTTCATTTCCTGGGTATTGTATGGTATATGAAAAGGTTTGATTAACAAGACTAGTTCACCAAGTATTAAATTAAATGTTCGTTTACACTCATCTATAAAGATATGTCAAAGACCATGTTAAAAATGATTTCAATGGGATGCAATAAGCCTTTTTTCAGTAAATCACTGTTATCCCTTACTTAATACAATAAATACAATTAAATCAAATCATGACTTAAAGGCACAAGTGAGTAAGCTAATTTAAAGAAACGTAATTTTTCAAATTTGGGAATCTTTCTGTAAAATAAAGAATAGGAATTTCTCTTTTACTTTAATTTGCTTATTGTTTTAAGGTTGAATCATTCAGAATGTTGGATGTTCTCTACATGGTATAGAGCTCTACTACTCTAAAGCACCATTGTAATCGGGGAGCAGTTGTAGGAAACAGAAACAATTGTAGCTATGTTATACAGAAAGTGATTAATACAGGAAACTAAGTGCTTATGAAATCACCAAAAGATTGGAGAAGTAGACTCTAAGCTTGGCCTAAGGTATGACTTTCAGACAGACATACCAGGGCAGCAGACACTTTTGCTACAGTTAGAAACAGAGAATCAGAAGACCACTGCCAATCAGCTTTTCAACTTAAGAACATATGGTTTTAAGTAAGATGAGGAATCTACCACAACTGCCTCCTGACACAAAAAATTCTGTGACTGGACTCTGAAAAGCTGCCTTCAAAACAAAATAGTCTCCATTCCAATCAGACCAAAGAAGCAGAACATATGGCTTCCATTCCATTTTCAAAATCATTTGCCAGATTTTTTGAAAGCCTGAGCCACTATGCAAAAAAGCCAATTCCTGAGGCCACCATGCCCAAGACTTCTGAAGCCCAAGCCTCTTGAAGAAGCCACCACTGACAATTTCAACCGAGCTCAGCCTTCGCTTCATTCTAGCCCAGGCACATGAGTAAAGAAGTTTGCAAAGGATTCCAACCCCCAGCCATTCAAGTACTCTCGACTAATGCCCCAGACATCATGTAGTTAAGACATCCCCACTTTGCCCTAAAGTCCTGGCGTACAGAATCTGTGAGCACAATAAAATGATTATTATTTTACATCATCTTTTGGAGTAATTTTTTTAATGCAACAAGAGATAACCAAAACACATAATATCATAGATTTTTATGTTTCTACAAGCACTTCAGAAATACCTTTAAAGATTATAATAATCTATTATGTGATATATACCACAATATACCTAAAACCTTGTGCTTCGTTGTAAAAAATAGCTGTTTTACAGTTTTTCTGTAAACTAACACTACGGTGAATATCTTTATCAATAGAGGTTTTTTCTTTTGTATTTAGCCCTTTATTATCATTAATCTCCAGAATAACTGTGTCTAAGCTATGACCAATTTTGTTTCTAAATATTTTATACCAATTAATATTTATTTTGAATTATTTAACATGATAAAAAAGTTTTAAAAAAGCAAATTCACTTCCATATATTTTAAAAATTATTTTAAAAAACTACAAAAATATTATTCTCTCAAGGTCCATCCATGTTGTTGCAAATGGCAGTATCTCATTAGTTTTTATAGCTGAGTAGTATTCCATTGTGTAGATATACCACATTTTCCGTATCCACTCATCCGATGATGGACATTTGGGTTGATTCCAGCTCTTGGCTATTGTGAAGAGTGCTGCAATGAACATTGGGAAACAAGTATACCTTCGACTTGATGATTTCCATTCCTTTGGATATATTCCCAGCAGTGGGATAGCTGCGTCGTATGGTAGATCTATCTTCAGCTGTTTGAGGAACCTCCAAACCATTTTCCATAGGGGTTGCACCATTATGCATTCCCACCAACAATGTAAGAGAGTTCCTTTTTCTCCGCAACCACGCCAGCATTTATCTTTCAGCGTCGTTTGGATTTTTGCCATCCTAACTGGGGTGAGATGGTATCTCAGTGTGGTTTTGATTTGCATTTCCCGGATGCTGAGTGATGTTGAGCATTTTTTCATATGACTGTTGGCCATTTGCATATCTTCTTTAGAGAAATGCCTACTTAGCTCTTTTGCCCATTTTTTAATTGGGTTGCTTGTTTTTTTCTTGTAAAGTTGTTTGAGTTCTTTATATATTCTGGATATTAGTCCTTTGTCAGACATGTATTTTGCAAATATTTTCTCCCACTCTGTTGGCTGTCTTTTAGCTCTGTTAATTGTTTCTTTTGCTGTGCAGAAACTTTTCAGTTTGATATAGTCCCATTTGTTTATTTTTCCTTTGGTTGCCCATGCTTTTGGGGTCATATTCATGAAGTCTGTGCCCAGCCCTATTTGCTGAAGGGTTTCTCCTATATTTTCTTTAATAAGTTTTATTGTTTCAGGGTGTATATTAATAAACTACAAAAATAAATCCTTCAAATTGATCAGCCATATTGAAAACAAAAGGATATGGCTAGACACTCTGGGATGCTCATGTGTGGTGATGTCAGCAGACCTCATGAGTCAAACATGAGAAGCTGGGGGAAATTTGGCTACCACAGCAGGTGGGGGGAAAACAAGAAAAATAAGCATGTTGAATCATCTATTAATTGACACAAGCCTGTTATGCGCTGGATTGAAACAATATTCATATGAAACAGTCACCAAAAGATGGTCACAGCTAGGCAAGAGTGGCTTTGGTTTAGTAAGTTCAAGGAGTTCAGGCTAAGTGAACAAATTTCACAGTTCTCAGGGCTCTGCTACACACTCTTGTACCTAGTTGAGAGGGTATGAAGAGGGCTACAATCCTTCCAACATTCCTCTGGACAAGCAGTGAGCCCTAGAGCAAAGTGTTCTGTCTGTGGAAAGGGCAGCTTTTTCTCACTGATGTACCCAGAGAAGGAGGTGTTGTTGCCATTTGAACCCCCAAGTATTTGTGGTTTCTAATTCACACTAAGTTGTTAGTGCCAGCTGTTGCCCTCAGTGTTCTTCCTATTTATTGAGACTAGTTACCATAAGGAAGGAGGGAAAGAGCTCTTGACCTAGTTCCCCCATGGCTAAGTCATCATGGGATATTTCTGCCTTTCCATCTGGGATTTCTGAGATTTATGTCAATGTGGAAGATAACTGGTTCCAAAAGGTTTGGATCTCAGTGTTCATTATGTGAGCCTCCTAAACCCTAACTAAGTATATCTTAAAAGTTGCTTCCCCTTTACAAATATTTTAGCTGACCCTATTACCCAATGTTTAGCATACAGACACTATGTGAGAAAATCTGGATTAGAATCCTGATTTGGCTAACTACTGAAATTATGACTAAATCTTAAGATAGCAAGGACTTAGCCATATTCATATGGTTTGGAAAAAGAGGAATTCTTGCTCATCTTCATTAATTAATCTACACATTTGGATTCCTTTATACTAAGATTGAATTATGATATTTATGTTCCCTTCCTCCTCTTGGTACAGACCATGTAAATGGACACTGCACAAGTCCAACTTCTCAGAGTTGCAGTTCTGGGAAACGTCTTTCTAGTGCTGATGTTTCGAAAGTAAATCGCTGGGGTCCTGGAAGACCTCCATTTCGAAAGGCACAGTCAGCCGCTTGCATGGAGATTTCTTTACCAGTTACAACAGAAGGTAGGTTTAACATATCAATTTTTATGGGTACAGTTAAAATTTGGTTTACCATGGTAATGGAAACTGGGAGACAAGGGATGGAGGTCACATGTAAGAGATTTAAAAAACTACTAGACAATGAGTAGCTGAGAGCCTGGTGGGGCTGTGGCCAGGAATCCAAATCCAGTCCTCACTACGCCTCCTTCCTCATCTCTAAAGCCAGAATGGCTATGTTTAAGTGTAGGCTCCTCCTTCCTCTGTACAAAGGAACACCTATGCCTTAATCTGTTCTCTACCATTTCAGTAATTACTAAGAATTTATTTCTGTATCTGTAGACAGTTATCAGTGTCTTGCCACCTTATTTCCTTAACTGTCAAATGAATATGACCAAGAAAAAAGACAAGATATTAAATTCTAAAGTTTGCAATCTCATCTTCATATGTTTTTAAAAAGAAAGACTATTTGCTTATTTACAGAATGAGTATGGGAGCAGGGAGTAAAGTACAAGAGCCAGAAGCCAGAAATTTTTAGAGAGGGAAAAAAGAGGGAAACTTGTGACTTTGCTGTTACTGTCTTGTTGATAAGGATCTTTAGGGAGATAGAAAAAAATAATTTTAGGAAGATTTGCTATAGTAATTTTTTTTTTAAGAAAATGCAATTTTATTATTAATTTTTTTTTACATTCCAGGATGTTGTTGTGCAGCAGTTAGGAGGGAGGGGGAGTGGGGAAGGGGGAAGGAAATGTGATGGAAGAAGGAGGAAGGAGGAGGGGTGGGATTGTGGCCTGTGGCACCTCCCTCATTCCCACAGGGGAGACCAGGGAAGCTTCCAGTGGTGGCTTGGTCATTGCCGGGCTAGGTGCAGATGTCAGGTGGGTGTGGCAAAAGCCCTCAAACCCCCGACCACCCCAGCTTGGGAACCCAGGGCCCTTTTTGCTGTGGCTTGGTGGTCACCACTGGGCTGGCTGTGGGTGTTGGGGAGGTGAGGCTGAGGCCCTCAGCCCCCCACCACCCCAGCTTAGGAGAGCCCAGGGTGCTTCCTGCAGTGGCTTGGTGGTGGTTGCTGGGGTGGTTGCATGTGTCAGGGGTGTGTGGTTGAGGCCCTCAGCAATGTCCCTCGACACCCTTGGGACTGGTTGCAGGGGTTGGGGGGCATTGCTGAGGCCCCTAGGCCTCCACCCTTTCTGGCTCGGTAGCCCAGGGTACTTCTGGTCCTTCTAGGTGTTATAGGTGTTCTTTGGTGAAATGAGACCTTTATTAGTTAATATCAAACTTTGTCTCTGGTTACAGGTACTTTTCTTTTTCTTTCAGATCTGTGTTGGGTTATTTGCTGTTCCCCCCACTTAAACTCTGTGCTTTGTCCTTTGCTTACTTCTAAAATGGGGGAACTTCCTGTGGGGATCAGTACTTGAGCTCTGTGGTTTAGCTAAATTGCTGCTTTGCTGCTGATTCCCTAGGGAAGCCTTTTTGTGCAGCTTGGGTTTTAATGGTTGACTTTATAGGTACTTCTGGATCTAGTGAAATCTGATGCACCTAGGTTGTGTAGAAACTCTGGTCTGGGCCTGAGTCTTTTCATCAAACTGCACCCCATGCAATTCTATATTCCTAACCAGTCTCCTCTGAGTGGTCCTGTGCTGATTGGGGTGCAGATCAGCTGTCCTTGCTGTGTCCCAGTGTTCTCCCAGTGGGCCTGTCTCCCCCACTGCCCATGCTCCAAACACTTCCCATGGGACAGGCCATGCTCCGGTCCCTTGTGGTGACTCACCGGCCTCTGAATGACTCCTTTTCTTCAGTTGTTGTGGTTCCTCAATCCTATGTGGGTCCACGGGAACCCTGTTAGTGGTCTTGCTGGCCTGGGGGCTACCAAGGTCCTCTTCTCCCCTGCCACCTCCAAGCAACTTCATCCAAAGGGCACAGCTGCAGCTTTTGCCAGCTCCTACTCCGTGCGCTCAGCAGCCCCAGTCTAGAAGCCACTGGGGCTCAAAACAGTCAGAGTGGTCTTTTCTTTCTTTCATTGTGGCTTCTCCTGCCTTCATGTATTCCACAGGTCTCTCCTCCTCTTCCCCTGAGCTCTAGCGGTGCCAGCTTGGCTGTCATTGCTTTTTTATAGTTGTAAATTGGCTGACTTGTGGGAGAAAATGATGCTGGGAACTACCTATTCCACCATCTTGACCAGAAGTGCTATAGTAATTCTACGGTATAAAGTAATTCCCCATTTACTAACCCTTAAAATTTTTGATGATCTATCTTGCTTTTCAAATTCTTTAAAAATAAAATTTATTACTCAATTTTTGTTTCTTTAATATTATGATGTACTACATTTAGTCCAATGAACATGCAGATAATGATGTTCTCTCTCTAATGGGTATCTGTGAGTATCAACCTTGAATGGTGATGAGCCATGAATGGAAATATGTTCACTAGGATTGTTATAATAGAAGCAACATGTAAGGGTTATAAAGGAAGTAGCACTCTTAATCACTGGAATGAGAGTTGGGAATTTTGAGTTTTTGATATGTCTCCCTTAATTTGTACTGGATTCTGGGAAAACGAACTCTAAGTCTCTCTCTCCAAATCTATGAAACATATAGATTATCTCTAAGCTTCCTTTCATCTCTAAGTTCTATGCAAATGATTATTTTTATAAATTTACTGAGGGATAAAAAGGGGATATTAGAAATACCATATTTTGTTTTCTAGAAAAAAGATAGTCTGAGGAATCTATATTTAGTTTCTTTCTATAGAAATAATTATGAATCACACTCGTACCTATCAACAGGGAAAAAAGTCAGTATAAAGAAAAATATGAGAAGCTCGTACTCTGGAATGATTATAAGAACAGTACAGCCTTACTAATATTTAACTGAGGTGGGTGAGTTTATGCTTGTTGGAGTGTACACATGTGTAAGTATTGATGAGCAAGAGAAACTGAAGCCATCTTGTTCATTTAAGTGGGCTTCAGCCCACTGAAAGTGGTAGAAAGACTACCACTATCAACAGGATGGCATAATCTACAACTCTTTATTTGGGCCTAGGCAAAGTTAGGACTGGATTTGGATTCAAGGTAGGAAGCTTGAAACTAGTTCAGAGAAATAACAGTTGCATCTTGGTAAAAACTTTAATTTTTACAACTATAATTATCCCAGATATAGAATATGTTTTCCATAGAAGATTCATGATCCAGATGAATCCTTTCATGTCAATATCCACATATTATAAGTGGGAATTGCCAAAAAATCATTAGGAATACTTTCAATAATTGAGAGAGAGGCGTGAAGCACAATTAAAATGGTATCAGAAATTCTTGTAACCTTGACTATTTAGACTAAACCTTCTTTCCAGATTAAAAAAAATTGACTAACTTGTAAAGCAATGTAGTGAGAGAAAAATGGTGAACTGGAACTCAAGAGACTCAAGTTCTACTCCTACCTCTGCCTAAGTTTATAATTTATACTTCTACACTTCAATCTCTCCCTCTTCAAAATAAACTGGTAACTGAACAAACTGCCTTCCAGGTCAATTAACAAAGAATGAAATTCTGCTTCCCTCTCATAATCTGTGGTTTTCATGTATTTAATCTGACTTCACTTGTTGTGGAAATACACTAACACTTTTTTTATTATTATTTTCATAGAAAACCGAGAAAATTCCTATAATCGTTCTAGAAGCTCTAGCATCTCCAGTATTGACAAAGATTCCAAAGAAGCAATTACAGCACTATACTTCATGGAATCCTTTGCACGGAAAAATGACTCTACCATCTCCCCTTGTCTGTTTGTTGGAACTAGTCTGGGAATGGTGTTAATCATCTCCTTAAACCTACCATTAGCAGATGAACAAAGATTTACAGAGCCAGTCATGGTATTGCCAAGTGGTAAGAGTTGTTATTCATTCATTCCCTCATTGCTATTTTTTCGAATTTACATATGTTGTTATAAAACTTAATTTGTATTGATTCAGGACAAACATTACGAGTATAAGTATTATGTGCAATATGAACTATTGAAAATTTCATAAATCATATACTATTCCAACATTTGTCATATTGTAACTTACCTTTTTTTAAAAAAATTTATTTTATTTTGTCAATATACAAAGTGGTTGATTATTGCAGTCCATTACCGAAAGTTCCCTCCCTCCCTCCTGCCTATCCCTGCTCCGGCCCAACAACCTCATATCTGTTTGCATGGTGTATCAATTTCAAGGAATTGGAATTGTTGTGTCTTCTTCCCACCCCCCTAGTTTATTTGTGTATTTATTTATTTATTTATTTTTAGCTCCCACAAATAAGTGAGAACATGTGATATTTCTCTTTCTGTGCCTGACTCGTTTCACTTAATATAATTCTCTCTAGGTCCATCCATGTTGTTGCAAATGGCGGTATTTCATTCTTTTTTATAGCACAGTAGTATTCTACTGTGTAGATATACCAAATTTTCTGTATCCACTCATCTGATGATGGACATTTGGGCTTGTTCCAACTCTTAGCTATTGTAAATAGTGCTGCAATAAACATTAGAGAACAGGTATCCCTTCAGCATGATGATTTCCATTCCTCTTGGTATATTCCCAGCAGTGGGATGGCTGGGTCATATGGTAGATCTGTTTGCAATTGTTTGAGGAACCTCCATACCATTTTCCACAAAGGCTGCTCCATTTTGCAGTCCCACCAGCAATGTATGAGAGTTCCTTTTTCTCCGCAACCTTGGCACCATTTATCATTCACAGTCTTTTGGATATTAGCCATCCTAACTGGGGTGAGATGGTATCTCAGTGTGGTTTTGATTTGCACTTCCCGAATGCTGAGTGATGTTGAGCATTTTTTGATATGTCTGTTGGCCATTCATGTATCTTCCTTTGAGAAATGCCTATTTAGCTCTTCTGCCCATTTTTCAATTGGGTTACTTGTTTTTTTCTTGTAAAGTTGTTTCAGTTCCTTGTATATTCTTGATATTAATCCTTTGTCAAATGTATGTTTTTCAAATATTTTCTCCCACTCTGTTAGTTGTCTTTTAACTCTGTTAATTGTTTCTTTTGCTATGCAGGAGCTTTTTAGTTTCATATAATCCCATTTGTTTACTTTTCCTTTGGTTGCCTGTGCTTGTGGGGTGGTATTCATGAAGTCTGTGTCCAGTCCTATTTGCTGAAGTGTTTCTCTGATGTTTTCTTTAAGAAGTTTTATTGTTTCAGGGTGTATATTTAATTCTTTAATCCATTTTGAGTTGATTTTAGTATATGGTGAGAGGTATGGCTCTGCTTTCATTCTCCTGAATATGGATATCAAGTATTCCTAGCACCATTTGCTGAACAGGCAGTCTCTTCCCCAGTGTATAGGCTTGGTGCCTTTGTCAAAGATCAGAGGGCTATAGGTGTGTGGGTTGTTTTCTGGATTCTCCATTCTATTACATTGATCAATGTCTCTGTTTTTATGCCAGTACCATGCTGTTTTGGTTATTATAGCTTTGTAGTATAGTTTAAAGTCAGGTAGTGTTATACCTCCAGCCTTATTTTTTTTGCTCAGCATTGCTTTGGCTATGTGTGGTTTTTTGTTATTCCATGTAAATATCTGGATAGTTCTTTCCATTTCTGAGAAAAATGTCATTGGAATTTTGATGGGGATTGCATTGAA